AAAGGAACAATATAAGTTTATGAGAAGATTTTATTTCAATAGGAGAAGTAACAGTACTTTTTGTCTGAAGGGCTGGTAGGAGAGCCTGCAAAAAGGATCCCCAATAAACACATTCCCACATACTTCCTGCAGCAGTTTTGTGCGTCAGTGCTGCGTATTTGAAATAAACAGTTACCTCTGACTGGAAGGATGAGACTCTGTACCTGGTGTTGAACCTTTCCAGGACTACATCCAAGGAATCAGACACTAACTATTTTTGCCAGAGGCAATTTTAAATTGAGGCAAAAAAAGAGAGTTGCTGAAACACTGAAGAAAGCTGACACTCTAGAATAAAAGTGCCAGTGGTCCTTATTGAGCTTTCTGTTCACTTCTCAATACATTAGGCCTGGAACAAGTTTCTCAGTGCAAAATTTCTCTAATTGGCTGGAAAGCATTTAAGGAAAAAAAATCTTTTTAATTAAAAACAGAGAACCAACAAGACATGAAAGCCATGGGGGTTGGGAGAGGCATGTGTTGACCTTATGAAGCTTCGCAGCAGAACTCTGCAGGGACTGTTTAAACTGAGAGAGCACAATTTTAATTAAAGAGTCCTGAGGAACAGACAACTCAAAAGAGCAGGTCAGCTACATTCCAAGAGGTCAATTTAAGCATAAGCAGAGGGCAGACAAGACTTGTGGTCATTTTGCCTTCCTCCGCGAGAAATCAGTTGACAGCAGAGCATTCTTATGCTCTGCGTTTCTTAGCATACAAGCTAGCCGTCCCCTATGCATGTTGCACGTCACTGATAATTGTTTAAAGGAGAGAAAAAAATCCTGTGAAGTCCCCCTCAGTTTCTTGACATTGAATCACATTCTAAAATAAACCCAATGGTATTTTTTTTCCCAATGTGTGGAATCCTAGATATGCTTATGTATACTTGTACATAGAACTCTGCATCTTGCTAAGTTTTAAAAACAGTGGGAAATCCTGTACAAAAACATATCCAGTATATCACCAAACAGAAATCCTCTTTGACTTTTTTCTGTTTACTTTACTTTGCTTTTTGAGGAATTGTGTAATGTTACTATCACATCATTGCTGCTAGCCTTTTCTACTTGCTACTTGAAGAGAAAAGGGGAAAAAAAATCTAGTCTTCAAACAAAAGGAGATATGAAGGGCAATGTAACCAGAAGCCATCAGGTATAACAGGGCTAACACAGAAAAACATAATATAAAAGCTGCTGCACTTCCCATGAACAAATTACATTCCAATAATTCAAGAGGACAAGGATTTAAGTAGGAAAGTGATAGCTACAGCAATCTCCCAAGAGAAACAGTAAATTTAGTGCACTTAAATTAGTGTATATACAGGTCTGCACAGGCACTGATCATTACATATGATTATTACTTCTAATCAGAAAGAAATTTCTATCTTACTGGAGCTTTAAGATGGTTAGATGCATCTGGTTGAATAAGGTGCAACTTCCAAGTCAAGGCATGTTTATCTGAAGACCGACAGACAAAGCAGTACATACCACAAGGAGAATTCCTCTCTATTGAGCAGGAAAAACTAGCAGCCAGAATAAGCAATCAGTTCAATCATTTGTGAGCTACTGCAGATAAAGGTTACTTTTCTAAAACCCCAATTAAATACTCAAAAGGGGAAAGGATTATTTCTGAGTTTGCGTAAGCTTGGAAATTGCACTGTCTTACATCTTTAATCTTACTCTCCCTTGCTTCCCCAGCCAGGGTGCAAGCTTTGATGCAAGTATTCATTTATTATGCTGATCTATATCCTCACAGAGCTGGCATGTGTACAGTTTGTTAGGGATACCCTCCACATATGGAGGGAGCTAAGAAACAGTTAGCACTCATTTCTAAGATAAAAATTCAAAATCTGGAATGAAACAGAGGAAATGAGAGGGATAACTGGCAACAAACACTTTTCTGGTAAAGCAGTTAAAAACAAAAAAGCACAGATAACAACATGGGAGACATAGAAGAAGTCAGTGAATAATAATACTTTTGATGAAGGAAGATGAAAAATGGCTTGACAGTTCTATGCAGACACAAGTCAAAGACAGAATACCCAAGCACAGAGCAATCCCTGCCCAGAGAGAAATCTAGAGAGAAAACTGGACCATAAGAGCAGAATCTTGGTATAGAATGCAAACTGGGCATATTTTCCTCCTTTTCTGCACACAGAAATTCTGTTGAAATAAAATGCGAGTTTCATGAACAATTCTCCGTTTATATGACATAGTGCACCAAACGCAGAGAGCTGAGATCTCAGAAGCAATGCATCAATGTTAACTGGAGCTAAACTGCTTCTAATTCCTGAACCAGCAGGTTCTTTGTTGTAGGATCTACTGCAAGGTACAGGATAACCATAAATATAATTTTCTACAGGACTCTAACACGTCTCTTGCATGCAATATCATGCTTAAATTGCCAAAATTGTATTGTCCTAAAATGAGACGCTAATTTCTGGAATAATCCCAATTAGAAGATGCACCACCAGCCACTCTTCTGAAGAATACTCCAAGTCAGAAGTCTCACTTGCTTTGAGCATCATTTAGTTTAATTTTTTCCTATCATCAGGAGACTCATTTTGTAACTCAGATCACTAATAATCTTGCTTCTGGTTGCTGCCATTTGTTGTAAAGCTTGAGTCCTTCCCATGTTCATCCAAAAGCAATACGTTTCAAGGAAAGCAACATAGATTCAGCCTGCGCCCAAGAGTGGTAAACGACCATCTTTCACCCACTGTGTTGCACAGGTAGGGTGGCAGATTCTTCTTGGTAAATTGAGTTTAGTGCTTGACAGATCACTGAATGTTCTGAATTCTCCTATGCACAAGCGTAACAGAATTATTTTAATTCCAGACATATAGAGAGGAACTTCCAGTTTGGAATGTAATGCTCGTTAGGTGATGTATCAGTGACAAGAATTCCATAGCAAATACAACTGAAATGGATAAAACAAGGTTCTAGCATGTAATTTTCCTCTTGAACTTTCCACCTGAAAACAAGAAAACGCTTCTTTACTGTGAGGGTGGCTGAACATTGAAACAGGTTGCCCAGAAAGACTGTGGAGTTTCCATCCTTGGAGATATTCAAAACCCAACTGGACATGGTCCTGGGCAACCTGCTCTAGCTGATCCTGCTTGAGCAGAGGCATTGGATCAGATGATCTCCAAGGGTCCCTTCCGACCTCAAATATTCTGTGATTCTGCCACAGAACAAGAGAAATAGGACTGATTGGCTGAAAATGTTGACAGCAAGTTCTCTGAAGTGATGGGTTTCCATCTCTACTTAATGTAAAAGGAAATCACATATAAATAACTTATAAATACACAGGTAAACAGCCAAATTTGCTCAGACTAGGAAGTGTATAGACAGGGACTTTAAGGTCAGAAAAATGTATCTTGAATTCTTTTAAGGCCACAACCAGAGTATAGCAACATCCACCTGAGCTTTTGTCCCTATGCTCCCCCCTTGCCCTTCAAAATACCTTGGTGATTACATTTTCTTCCATGACCTTTTCCATGCTCATATAAAACCACTAAAAGTGAAAGAGAAAGGAGTTATAGTGTGGCCAAAACTTCTTGGCTCTTTGCAACAAATTCTGGGGCTCCATCATCTGTCTGAAGTGAGATGCTAGATAAGAGATGGCAAAGTCGGATGAGAATTTACATTGAAAGTGCAGCAGTGAGTACTTTCCATGAAATAGCTTCTTCTCAATTTGTCAACACTGTTCCACCAGTGACAGCTGCAGTTTTGGTGGACAACTTCTTCAGTGTTGTTTCTGAACTGTCACGCAGAAATGTGTTCTGGGAAGCCACATGATCTTTCCTGTGATCTGACCTCAGATCATGTCTTCACTACATGCTGGTTAGACTAGTACAATACAGTTTACCTGAGACTTCAAAAATATTAGCCCTGAACCAATATAACTGATTTAGAACATAACAATGCACCTCTTGCTGACAAGATTTTGCAGAGAGCACATCCAGTCACTTCAGTAGCTAATTACAGATTTTGTCATGCTTAACTAGGATACTCTAATTTCCAAGGATCCAAAATGGTAGTGCCAAGGCAGAAAGTGTCAAAAAAGTCATTTCCCTATTTATAGTCTTGGAAATTCTGTTCATCATGAGTAGAAGTCTTGCAAAGCTTGGCCAGAAGGCCAGGATTTATCTGTATTTAGACAAAGGTTATAGTTTTCCCTGCAACAAGAAGTGAGTCTGAATAGCCTGAAACAATGAGGCTCACAGTCATATAAAAAAACACTTTAAAACTCACATTTGTACAGCAACATCCAGTATATTTACTTAGAATATTAATTAAAAACTAAAACGAAACATAATTTTAGTTGCATGTAGTTACATGAGTTCATTTTGAGTTCTGGACGGTTACCTAATACAAAACATAAGAACGCAGCATAAGAAGTGCTAGACAAAATAGTACTATGCTAAATAGGTTTTTTTTTTTCTTGGCATTAGAGCCTTTTTCTTGTGAGTGGGGTTGGGGAAGAGGCCGCACAGTTGTCAGTGTTCCCCCTTTCATGGCCATCAGGGTCCTGCAGTGTCATCTAGGAGTTATGCCAGGACTAGCTTCGGCACAGCTATGTTCTCACAACCTGTTCCCAACATACTTCATGCCCCATATTCTAACCCTCTCCAGGTCTGCTACACACAATCTCATCTGCTGATCCCTCCAGCACACTTTTTTCCTTTTCACCCCCGTGCACGGGCCCACGAACATCCTCCCTTTGAACTGTTGCTGCCTGACGTGCTGTTCTGTACTGGAAGTAGCGCTGACACTGAGGTGCTCCTATGCCAGGTTATGCTGTGAGCATTTTTAGGCATTCCATAAGCTACTATGATGGTGTCTCTCTATTAATAACAACAGAATATTAGAACGCCGTGTGCAGTGTCAGTATTTGTACTGCATTTATAGGCTAGCCAACAATTTTGCTGTCCAAGGTAACAGGACAGCAACAGACGCTCGAAAACTCACCTCCGTTTTTCCCCACTGTTCGGAAACATCTCCAAAAGGTCCGAAGAAAAGATGCCCTGTTATGAGGGGTAGCTTGGACAAAGCTGAATTCACGGAACAAAACGTGTGTTCCTTGACGAACACTGTTAAAACTGTGGAGATAAAGTCAAAAGAAGAAAAAGTTAGACAGCTGAACCAATGTGAATGTTTGAGGGCCAGCTGGAATGGTCACAAGAAAAACCACTGGCAGTTACATTTTGTGAAACCAAATCTCTAAACTTTATTACAGCTTTTATCTGTCTGTTCTCTAGAGAGAAGCCTATTTGCAAAAACCACACATTGGAACTTAATTGTAGGAATCAGGGGTTTGCAAAAATCCAATTCATTCTGAAGGATCCCAGCAAGGGGTGTCCAAAAGCCACTTAAAGTTTTGAGACCAATTCATTGGCAAATGGCTGGGCAGGAGTTAACTGCAGTTTAGCTGACCAGAAGATGCCCTTCTTTTTAGTGCGTTTTGGATTTCATTGCTATTCTCACCACTGTTTTCCCTGAAGCCACAACAACGACAAAAAATCCTCCTTAGCAGAAGTTGCAAGATTTTCATTTCTAGGTTACTGAAATGGTTGACTGTTTCGGATGTATAAAATCTTTTCCTGTTTGCATGAAAAGTAGATTGATCCTTCACTAAACGACAGTTGTACTAGTGCTGAAAAGGGAACATTTCTACATTTCATTTTGACAATAAAAGCTGGCCATTACGATGGATAGCCCACTTGATTTTCCCATTCTTGTATTTTAGTGCAAATTTCTCATATTTGCATTCTAAGCACTTCGGACTAATGCTCATTGTTCTAGTAAACATTTATTTACACTTAAAAACTAAAGGTTTCTCTGAAGTGTAAGAGGCTCTCCTTTGGGCATGGTGAAGCTCAACATGCAAGAACAATAGAAATGCAAATACAAACATTATATACCAAAGGTACAATGACAGGACTGCCTCAAAGCTGGATTTTGTGCGTTTCACTCTGCATCTTGCAAGTGGGACAAAGCTTTTAAAGACTCCAGAGAGATCATTAAAAAAATTCACTTGGGACAGCAGCTTAACTCTCTCCCTTAGCAGACAGTTAATGAAAAGATTCAAGTTTATCTTTCATCACAGCAGAACCTCTCCATAGGTAGCCTCTCCACAACAGACAAATCTAGTGGCATTGGGAGCCCTCTCAGTATGCAATTTTAAAATCATCTCCTGTTTTATAACTAGTTTAAATCACTTTTTTATCCTTCACAGTATAGAAAAGGGTCTCATTTGAGAGGATCACACCAGAGTTAAACAAGATTAAAAAGTCATGCAGCACTTGCAAAAAAAAAAAAAAAAAAGTTCAAATTTTCAGATAAATCTCACAATATTTTTCTGTTTTTTTTTTTTTTCTTAATGTTCTGGCTCTCAACAACACGCAAATAAATGGATTTTTTTTTCCATGTGTTGAGAATTAAAACACAGAACACCATTTCTTGCCCTCCTACTCAGAAGGAAATGCAACTCAACTAACAGAAGTACAAACAGTCACATTAATATGAAGTCATACTTGTGATTTTTGAGTTCTGGAATTAGGAATACTCTTTCTGTGAACATTATGGACAAACATATTATTTCATATTTTTGAAGCCTTATTCATGCACCCACCCTGTACAAACCAGAGGAAGGCGCAGCCATTGTCCGAAGAGATTAAAAAGAAAAAAATCATGTGCCTGATCAAAATATGCCAAAATTAGAGGAAAGGGCTCCATGACTATGGTTGTAAATGAAGACACTTCATCATAAAGTGCTGCAGCTCACTGCTTTAGAGTGAACGGGGTACAGGATGAGGGAAAGCGGCTTGCTTAAAGACCCACTAGACCAACTAGATGACTGTGACAACGCTAGAAATGAGATTTCAGATCGTCTCATCCCCAACTATAGCCTGCAAGACATTTTTCTTTTCCCGCTTGCATTGCTTTGCTGATAACTTAAACAGACTGATGGAGAAAAGAGAGAGATGAATGAAAAAGAAAAAAATGAGTACAATAAGAGAAGAAGGCTTTCAGAAAAATGACACATATAAAGGGAGATGTTTAGGAAGAGAAACAAGATAAACAAGCAAGGGCACAGTTGTACACAGTCCAGAGGGAATGAGAAAGAATAACCATAGAAGTTTTAATCTGAGAAAAAAAATGGGGAAACTAGCTGAAAAATGATACAACTAAATGCATCAAATTAAACCGTTCAGAACTATAGGACATGCAAAGTCTGGAAGCAGATCCTGGCACAACTATAATGGAAAGGTCCAGGCGTGAAGCTAACACACTATTAATTCAGCAGACGGCCAAACTATATTACTTCTTAGTCCTAATAAGTAAGTGAGAACTCAAGCCACTTGCATTTTCAGCATGGGATGGCTCTAAACCCAGCAGGCAGAAAGGTATGATATCATTTGTTGTTGCTTACTCAGTTAAAAGAGTGGGTGGATACACTGGAACATCAGCACACCTGGTTGTGCTGACAGCCAAGAGCTGTCAGCTAGTTGAATAAAAGAGGTACAATATTTCTTTCATTCCCATTCCTTGCAGTAAGATTTTTTTTTTTTTTACTATACAATGAGAGAATTTTGCTCCAAAATCCCAAGTCTGCAACCATAGCTGTTAAAATTTTGTATCCCCGTTAAGATGCCACTTTTCAGCAATCCTGCTTTACAATTTTTTTTTTTCCTGTTGCAAATGCACAGCTCAAAAGAAACAGCCATTTCCTGCAGTGCAGGATGGAGCTATCCAGCAGCCTACCAACAATCAACAGATCTATCCTCTCTCTATCCTCAAGATCACTACTAAAGACAAGAACAGTTATATCCCACTATATGTTTGGAAACTTTCTTATAATGGGTAGATAGCAGTGCAAAAATCTTGTCTGCTTTTTCCTTAAAAACAGGCCAGATACGAAAAATTATCGTTGATGTGGCAAGTAGTAACAAGTGCCTGCAGGTAAACCCTTTGGAAAGAAAAAGGAGCTGTGACAACCAAAAGCTGTTATTCCAACACAACCAACACGTTAGTTATGATTCTTGTGAATAGATATTTTTTCCAGTTTCTCTTGAACACAGAAATAAAACAAGCTGCAGTCCCAGAGGACTGGCTTAAGTAACCAAGATATCAACAGCAAGGCAACAAACTTAGCTCAGTAAGTTTAACAGCTGCTAAAACACTTCCCTTAGGACTGCTCAGAGAGAAGAGGGCACATGGAAGGAAGGCTGAACAACTCATACCCTTTGGAAAGTTAGGCGGCTAGAGCTCATTAGCACATTTTCGAGAGGAAACAGACTCATGAACAACCTAGGGTATCTCAACAAGCTCTGATTTTGTCCTCAAGCCCTTTGAAGGGGGGTTGTGAACCCAGAAGCAGAACTTGGGAAAATAATGACTTTTTACTTATTTGTTTTACTCCTCCCCTTCTAGGTACTTAGTGAAGCTATCTGCAGAGATTCCTTCTGCAAGAAGGCTTATAATACCTTTACAGGTTTCAAAGCCTCCAATTGCAGACCTAACAACAACTAAAGGTTATCTTGGCCCTCTACACTACCAGTGAGTAGAGTAGGCAAATTAGCACATTAACAAAAGTTACTGGTGATGTGATTTTATTTGTCTTGCTGAAATTGAGATTAGAAATTGAACTGAATGTTCATTAGTTCACTGCAAACACATTTCACACAAGAATTGTTACACAGCTGGATACCGCATTAGTAAAATAGCCTTTCCCACTAGAGAAAGGAGAGAAAAAAATAAATTAAGGCTCCTGCTCAACTAGAAGTTCTAGAGAGACCTTTGCAGTAGGGACTTCCAAGATGTATACTTTTTCACTCCTTGAGTACCCTACAGCAGCCAAACCACAGAAAAAATTTTCTTAAGGTGCCACTGCTGAGAAAGATGCATCTTGCAGTACACCCTACATCTGTGGGATGGCACATGCACACTGGAGGAAGAAACAAGGTTGGGGAGGAGACTGTGATAAAACAGCCCCAGCTCTCAGAACTGGCTGTGCTGGGAAATCTAGCACTCAGGTGCTGCTTCTCTGAACAGAGCTGCTTTCAGTAAGGCTTTGTCTTTCGTGTAATTACATTTTGGCAACTTGCCAGAGTTCAGAAACTTTCAGGCACTCTTTTCAAACCTTTGGACTTCTAAATAGATTGTAAAAGTCCCTGGATGCTATGGTAACATCCCGATAGAAACCCACTACAGTAGTTAGCCTCTGCCTGCTGAAGCCAAATATACACAGTGCAGAGAGAACCCCATGTCCCCGAGAAGGATAGAGGAGCCTGCCAGGACCCTGCTGGCCCCCTAGCAGGTGCCACCTTTGGTTACCAATGCAAAGAGCTGAATGAGTTCACAGGACCCCTCCTCTACTAAAAGGAAAGTAAGGAACAAGGACTGTTATTCCTTAACTTACAGCATACTGCATTCATTTTCACTGAGAGCATGATGAAGAAAAACTCACTTCTCTGAAAGTTTATGCTGCTCCCTACTTTTACTCTCAGTTACACAGGAGTCTAAGTCATTCAAACAAAACTGAGTGTCTTAAGTGAAAATAAGGTAGTCTCAAGCACAAAGTTGCTATCGGAAGCTATGTCTAGACTGACTGAAACATCTGTAGAGAGAAACAGCACGGAGGACCTGATGTTCACAGTACAGGTATTCCGTTTTTTCCTGAAACACACTTGGGACTTGCTCTAGTCTCGTCCCATGGACTGAATGCTCATTTGCAGTTGGAACACATCTTCCAGTTTAGTTTCATCTGAAAGGGACCCAAGCCCCAAGCTCCAAGACTGCTTCCTGATGTGAACCAAAGCACAGTAAGTGGGGATATTAGGATTAGTGAGTATAGCACAATGGGCAAAGAACTTGCTCTAGCAATAGAAAATACTGGAATTCAAAAGGCTTTAAAACTCAGGCAATTCCTGTTGTTAAGTAACTCATCCACACACAAAGCATTCTCAAGAGAACAATCATACTTACCCTAAGGCTAGGTATACTCTAAAACAGCACAGTGAGGTTTACCTTGCTTGCAACAGCAGGATAAGACCTGAGAGGGAATACTGCTAAAACTGTATGCCCTGCTGAGGAAAAA